CCTCCCACCTCCCTCCTCCTTCCTCCCTCCTACCCCCTTTGTCCCATGAGCTGCGACTGGGGTCCAGCATCCGATCTGTCGTGCGTGGCTGTCTCAGGCCCCACACGAAGGCTGCCTCCTCAGTGTCCCCCACCCATTCCTCCGCTCACCGACTCGTTCTCTCAACACGCATTTACTGAGCACCTGATGTGTGCCAGGCCCCGGGCAAGGGGCCGGGAAATGCCGATGGGGGGCGGCGGCGGTCCCCAACTCATGAGGTTGCAGCCCCATCGGGAGGTGGACACAAGACGAGGAAGCAAGTGTTGTGCAGAAAATAAACAGGCCACACGACTTGAAAGGGGGGAGGGGAAGGGTGACTGTCAGCTGAAACCTACAGAATGCGCCAAAATCCGCTTTGCAGGACCTGGCCCACCCCGTGGGAAGCCCCTTCTCACCTCCCTGGGGGCTCAGTCCTGGTGCACCTGTGTCCTCTCCTGGCCTCCGTGTGGCCCCTGAGGGGTTCACCCCGTATCTTGCAGCTCTGGCACAGCTGTGGAGCCCTCAGGGGCCAGGGAAGTGTTCACGGGGTGAGCCAAACCCTGATCCAGCCACCGCCGGGTCACATTTGAAGCTTTGTTTTCCCAGTTGGGAGCCAAGTCAAAATAACAGGGAACAGTGCTATTTCCCCTTGATTTCGTTTAATGACAATTTCTCGAGGGATCATTTCCCTAGCTCCACCTTGTCTGTTTTTAACAGACACCAGCTACCTGGCAGGCACAATTCCAGCCATCACCCCCGTTTCACTGAAAGGCAAACTGAGGCACGGAGTTCTGTAACTTGCTTGAGACCAACCCGAAAGCAAGAGGCGGAGCTGGGTTTGAGGTCGGAGCCTGCTGCTGGCTTTAGCTTGCAGGGAAGGAGGCCGACCCAGGCAGGTGACACTGAGCCTGCATGTTTAGGGACTGGGCAGTGTGCTCAGCAGTCCTTTGCGTCCTCCATGGCGGCTGTTGAGCAAACAGGGCTGTGGAACCCTGGGGTAGTCAAGTTGGGCTGGCCCAGCTTGAGGTGGGGGAGGGGGGAGGGCCACCACAGCCCTGGCGCCCTGGATGTGCAAGGAGGGTCAGGGCAAGTGGCACTGCTCCCTGGAAAGCAGAGCCAGACCCAGGTCCAGGCGCCATGCTGCTGTGGGTCCCGGCCCCAGGAGCTCTCGAGACAGGAAAGGGATGCGCCTGGGCCGTGTCACACTCGTCCTGTCCAGCAGTCAGCTATGTCAGCCCTCGCAGGTGGGCCAGGACGCCCCCTTCGGAGATCCCTGACTCATGTCTTGTCTTGATGCTATCCAGCATCAGGCGATGCTCAGGGCTCACCACCACCTCATTCACCGTGTACTGGCACGTAGCGAAATATCTGAGTCATACAGAGAGGCACACGCAACCCAAAGAAGGCTTCTGTCCAGCATTTGGTGACCTGCTCAGAGGCACCCACTGCACCCTGTCCTGGGCCCCCCTCCAGACTTGCTCCGTGGCCTCCCCGCTTTGCAAGCTAGACACATCCCAGAAATTCAGATGGCCATCCATGGGCTTCCCTGCCAGACTGCAGAGACCTGGGCGGCATGAACAGCTGTTCCTACGGCACGTGCATGCCTGAGGAGGTGTCTGTTGATGGCCCCGACATGCAGCAGCCCTGGCCTGTAGACAGCCATTCTCCACTCCGAGGCCGCCAAGCTGCCTTCCAAGAGGGCACCTGGATTAAGCTCCCACTCACGGGTGGACTGTGGAATCCTGCCTGAGCTCACAGGTGGAAGAGCAGGTTCTCGTTCTCATGTCGCCCTTATTTTTGGCCAGAGAATGGCAGGAGGGAGCTCTGACGCACGTGGCCAAAGGGGCTCCTGGACTGCAGCCCCGATGAGTTAATTCTGAAGAGGGAGAGCCCCGTGCGGGCCGCTCGCTCACGCTGGTGCGGCCTGAGGACGTGTCGCGCGGAGAGGAGACACCAGCCCACGAGGGGCTTCGTGTTGAAAGTTAGACGCTTGCCTTCTTGCATGAAGCAGCTTCTTGGTGGCTCCCTCACGGCCGCCATCTCCAGCTGTGCCAGAGCTCCCACCCGTTCCCCAGCTGGCCGTGACACGGCTGGTGGTCCTGGGGACAGACCCCTTGAACGTGCACCCCTCCACTCCCCGGGACACTGGTGGCCCCTGCCGGCCCCCGATGGTTGCACTCTTGCTGTTGTGAAGGTCAAGCCCGAGCCCCGCAGCCAGGAGACAGTGGGGGCAAAGCCCCAGCAGCTGTCCTCACCCACCACAGGGACCGCTGTGGCTTCTGGCGACACACCCAGCAGGGGTGCAGGGAGGCGGGGCCTTGGCGGTGTCTAGGACGCCTCGCCGCCTGCGTGTGATGGACGTGGGCCCCAAGTGTGGCGTGGCTTGGGCTCTGGGCCGCACGGGCCCCACGAGGTTTGTCACAGGAAGGCAGGGAGTACCCCTGCTCAGCCCTCCCGTCAGCCCTCCCGGCCCGCGTGTCTGCAGGTCCGCGGCTGCTGCCTCTGGACACGAGGCCAGGGCTTTACGAGCGTGCCCTCTCTCTCATCAGGAATCTTCGCCTACATGAACTACAGGGTCCCCCGGACCAGGAGGGAGATCTTTGACACCCTCATCAAGGGCCTGCAGCGGCTGGAGTACCGTGGCTATGACTCCGCAGGTGGGTGCTGGGCAGCTCAAGCCGCCGGGCTCCGTGCCGGGGTGGGGGGGGTCGCAGCCTGGGCAGTTTCCTGGCGCTTCTCTTAACGCGGCTTTTCCATCACGACAACATGTGCTCATGGGAGACACTGGAAAACAACGGGAAAGTAACAAGAAGAAACAAGGGTTAAAAAAAAGCCACCCCGTCAAAGGTTCCCCCACCAGGAACGGGGGTGTGGGGCACACTCCGGGGCTCCAAGCGAGCGGGTCCCAGAGCTGCGCTCAGCACCGTGCCCATGGGAGGCGCTGGGTTGTGTGGCTAAACCCGGGCCTGGAGGGCAGCGCTCATGCTGAGTGCCCTTACACACACGCATGCATATGCACACGCTTGCAAACACACACACACAACAGTGGTAATAAGTCAAGGGGACAGGAGGAAGCCTTGGGGTGGTGGATGGGTTTTGGCATAGATGGCAGTGATGGCTTCACAGTGCTCGCCTGTCCCCAGGCCCATCACGTCGTGTATGTTGAACATGCCCACCTCTGTGTGTCCGTCCTGCCTGGATAATGGGGTTTGAGGTCTCTGTCCCTCCCCTGTGCCTGTTGTCTGCAAGGATGGTCTGGTGAGGGAGGGGTCGAGGTGGCATGCCTAGATGTCCTGGCTTTTACCTGGTCACAGAGATGCGATTTTGCCCGTTTCTGTGCCTTCTTCACTTGGCATTTCCGAGATCCCAGCTGCCTCCCAAAGAGCTTTCGAGCAGTTGTGCCGTCCCCCGCCGGGTGGCTACCTCTGAGCTCACTCCTCTGTCCACCAGATCGGTGACTATTTCGTCTGTTCCCTTTTTGTGGTTGTTTTTTGGGTTTTTTGAGTCTGAGTCTCACTCTCCACCCGGGCTGGAGGGCAATGACGCTCACAGCCACCGCAGCCTCGACCTCCTGAGCTCAGGCAATCCTCCTGCCTCTGCATCTCCAGTAACTGGGACTACAGGTGCATACCACCGCGCTGGTTAATTTTTTGATTTATTATAGAGACTAGGTCTCACCACATTGCCCAGGCTGGTCTCCAACCCCAGTCCTCTTGCCTGGGCCTCCCAAAGTGTTGGGGTAACAGACATGAGCCACAGCACCTGGTCCCACCCCACCCCCTTTTTTGTGGTTAGGGTCTCATTCTGTCACCCAGGCTAGAGTGCAGTGGCACACTCACAGCCGCCACAGCCTGGACCCGCGGGGCTCCGGCGATCCTTCCACCTCAGCCTTCCGAGTTGCCAGAACTACAGGTGTGCACTAGCATACCCGGCTAATTTTTTTATTTATTATCAAGACAAGATCTCGCCAAGTTGCCCAGGGTGGTCTCGAACCCACGGGCTCAGGCAATCCACTCGCCTTGGCCCCCCAAAGTGCTGGGATGACAGGTTGAGCCACCGTACCCAGCCAAGGAAAATGCTGTTTACACCGCAGGTGTGGCAATCGATGGGAGCAATCACGAAGTCACAGAAAGACACATCCAGCTGGTCAAGAAGAGGGGCAAGGTCAAGGCTCTGGATGAAGAGCTCTATAGTAAGTGGAAGCCGTCACACCTGCGGGGTGTGCGCCGCACGGGCTGCATCAGGGTCTTTATTCCAACTGCATTCGAGGCTGCCAGTCGTGGCCTGTCCACACCAGGAACACAGGAGGGCTTAGCCCGAAGTGTCGACTGTTTCACAGGGCGTGGGTGGCGGATTGTGTGGTGGTGGAGCGGAGGTTTGGGGTTTTTTTCTTTTTCTTTTTTTTTTTTTTT